TGCATGATTACTATCAGCGTGGGTTTGAGTGAAGAGCTCTTTCTATGTATACAGAATCAAAATCGAAAATTCACGAAACGCAAAACGAAACGCTTATTTTGTATGGGTTTTCAACTGCTTTAACCACCTGCTCGCATTCTATTTACGGCTCGCGCCCGCGAAGCAGTCTGCGTCTCTTCCGCGAGCGTTCTCTCTGCCATTCTCTAGTCTTGAGTAGGCCTTTAGCCGCGCCTTGCAGCCGCCAATCCCCATGAACTAAAGGGTGTCTACAGGATAGCTTTACGCTCTCAATCAATTTTTATCAACACCATAGGTGCGATGGGGAAAGCCGGACCCCCTCCAGATGAAGGAGATGGGCAAGCCCTGAAAGCAAAATGCCTTGAGAAGCTACATACTGTCGAAAGCTGAGGTCATGTTTGAGATCAACTCAAGAATGCTGTCGATTTTCTTTTGCTCCAGGAAATATGAGCGATTTTATCTGGCTAATATGGCAACTGATTTTCAATGATTTCACGTTCTGCTCTATCGCAATCAGGATGAAAGCTACGAGAAAGTCGACGGTCTACGTTTATTGAGGAAGGGTTGCTCTTTGATATAGGTAGATTATCAGGGTAGTTAGATCTTCGTCGAGCAGAAATCTGCTGTTGAATATGTTCTTCTTCTTTGAAAAAAATGGCGTATCTCTCGGCATGGTAGGGCTAGGAAAAAGTCGACGGGCCAATTCAAATTCCTGTTCTCTAAGCTTTCGAATGGTATAAAAATCGTTGAGCGAAAATACGGGCAGTTCTAAGAAATGAGGTGAAGATACTTACCATTAACTTACTTCACCTTCACCTCGCTCTTTTAATGTATTGGCTTTTATGGGTTTCCGAAGCAAGGATTTTCTGAAGCCAGGAAGCAAAAGGCCCCAACAAGCTATATACCATTCGAAATGTGATATCATGGAGAATCGAAGCCGTCCACTTTCTTCTAACTCTGTTTAGCAGTAAGATGTGAGGGATTTTGACCGGTATATCTACTGAATCGCTTAGACTGACAAAAGACGCAACTAAATTCTCTTTCATTCTATAAAAAACGTAATTTCACTAACGTAATCACTACCTAAACAAGCACTGCTTATCACACTGAACTGTTTTTGCAATTTTTAGCAATACTTTTTTGGCTTTTATAAGCATCGACAAATTGGATATACACTTACATTATTTCGTTGTTTTTTTGCCTCGCTTGCAAGCAAGTATCTATCTGTTCACCCTATCTCAAAGCTGTGACAAGGCTTAGAAAGCTTTGGTAGAAAATAAATATGCACAAGAATTTTTCCCAAAAAGCGTGAAAGAAAGAGAAGCAAACAAGCATTAACCATTAAGCTTCTCGAGAAAAAAATTGGTATGTTTTTTAATATTCATATAACTAGATCAAAAGCTCTCTTATCTTTGAACCTGGGCATTTTGATATGTGTCAGTAATTGATTGTTTTGCCGAAACCAGGTTTCTTGGTGGATGTCTATTCGACCGACGTTTCGACGGGCTCGTCTTTTTCAAGAGGTCTTAACTCCACCGCATACCAGTAAGTCCGCACAATGGGACAATTTTATTTTCATGCTAATTTAATTTCCCATTCAGTTATTTTATGCTCAGTATTTATTGTAGACGCCTTTATAATAGCGCGAAAAAATGCAACTACTGTAATTCTTATAATAATTGATAGAAATACTTCTGATTATCTGCTAGGTGATATCGTGTTTCACAACTAAGCTGCTAAATCTCCAGTACTTTTTTGATCACAATTCACTAAACTATCTTATCAATTTAGCTTCAGGTGAAGGGGTCATCCGAGTTCCGACATGAACGTGAGGGGGGTAAGATTCATTGCTTCCTCTATCGCAAATTTGATCCGAATAATAAAATATTGATGGATTTTGCAGTCCATAAATTTAGTGGGAAAAGACGAGCACGATGTCTTACCCTTGATGTTTTTACACCACGATGGCGAGAAGATGCTGCAAGTTACTAGCTCTTGATTTTTGTATATTTGTGATATTTAAGCCAAACAAATTTGCTGGTATGGGTTTATGGTGGAGGCTTTTGCGTTCACTCCAGCAGCAATGGTGACACAGCTCTCGCCAGGTACCTTTCCATTCTTCTCAAATCAGCAGTTTTTTTTGAAAATATTCTTTTTTAATCACCAACTTTTAGAAATCTCTGTGTAGAAGACCTGTTTGCTGTAATTGTAAATCATCGCCTTGGACCATTTGGGTTTTCCATCACATGCGATGACGTCTGCAGAGGTGAGACTGCTCGTCCTTAAATGTTGCTCATCCAAAACAATATTTTGAGCTACTTTAGGTAATCTCGGTCTCTGGGACCGAACCCTCGCGTTACAGTGGGTCCACGACATATCGACGCATTTGGCGGAGATCGATAATGCCACTGTATTCGGCCAAAGTGCCGGTGGAGCTAGTGCGGATTTATTGGCTATGTCCACATTCACGAGGTTTTTGTCGTATTCGCTCAGCTGGTTCAATCTTATGCTAAGTGGACTCATAGGATTGTTGCAACGAGTGATTCCTATGGCCGGTTGTGGTGAATGCGATTTTGCTATGCGAACAAAGGAATCACAGGCTACATTGAGTCGAGAATTTGCGCGTTATCTGGGGTGGACGGGTAAAGATATACATACTTTTGCCCCTTCAATCCAATTATTCGCATAATCGAAGCAGAGTTTGGCTAACACAGTGCGAGATGAAAGCTACAAGTCAATGAAGCACGTTCCTTACTCCTCTTACAAGTGAAGCTTGTTTAGTCGAAGTGGCTTTTCCAAATGAAATGTACACCATATTAAAAAGCATAAAACGCTGATTCCAAATCTGCCTACCTTATCTGCAGAGCGTTCATGAAGTTATGAGCGTTTATTAAAGCTAAAAGTTCAATGTTCATTTATAAAATGAGTTTCTAAAATCTTACTAGCCCTAAAATAATGCAACCAAGTGTGATATATTTTTTATTTGAAAATATTTTTTCAAATAAAGTGCTCTGATGATTATCACTGTTCCATTTAAGAGCTAGAAAAAGTATTACGGCTATTTTTGTCCTACTTGCACATTCAATTTTTTGCCCCAATAAGCGCTCAGAACTCCTCGTCCATAAACGCTCTGCAGGTAGGGGAGGTAGATTTGGAATCAGCAATTTATGCCCTCTTATATGGTGTACGTGACTTTTAAAAAGACCACTTCGACTAAACATGTATTCCTTGTTAGTACAAAATTTTTGAAATAGCAGGGAGGAGGAGAATAATAAAAGATCTTCAGAGCAAAAGGGACGCTAGCAGTACTTTTTTGATATCTAGCTTTTTCTAAAAATTTCAATCTCATTTAGATACAAAATTTTTCTTTAAAAGATGTTTTGGAAAATTCACTAACGATGTTTTCGAGCCAGAAAAAAATTGCATTCAACATTTAGTTGCCTCTTCCCATAAATATTTTACTTGATCACAAATAAAGAAATCACTTCAAAATCAAGAAAAAATGATTGACTTGAGAATGTTGCTTACTTGTATTGAAATATATAGATGATGACTCAAAAGAATTACTCCACTTTATGCAAGCTCAACCGTCATCGCACTTTGAAGTTGGGATGCAACCAAGGAAGGTAAATTGCTTTAAGGCTTTTACGACTTTGATAACTTTAGCATTTTAGAACTTTTGATATTCACAATCGGGTGACCTGTACTTCGTTCCCAATTATGACGGTGACTTCTTCTCGAAGCCGATCTAGGAGCTGCGACGTGATTCGCCTAAGAAGTCCATAATGTGCGGAACCACTCAGAATGAAGGATTATTCTTTGGTAAAATTGTCTATTATTACAACAAGTTCTGGAGCCATATGGCGAGAATTTGTTTAAGTAAATTCAATCTCACTTACAGTGGCGCTTGGAGGATTTCCGAAAAGCTTGGAAGGTTTTCGAAAGTTATCGTATAGTTTGCGAATGTGACTACGGCAGTGATTAGGAAATTACTCGCAAAGAAATTTGTGATTTTTATATGAAGAATGTGGATCCAAAGAACAAACTCAAGGTTGGCGGAGCGTATGGCTTAGGTAAGATCAAATAGGTATAAAAAGTAAAATCATTTTAACCATTTTAAGTACTTCGGTGACTACGCTATCAATGCGGGAATGATGCGGTATACGCGAATAATGGCACAATTTGGCAATGACGTCTACTTTTATTGTTTCGAGCACTTCAACCCAGATGGTTTCGGATTCTTGCGCTTTATGCTTCCTTTCAAAGATACGATTTTATTCAAGTAACATCGTCGAGTGCGTTTTGCGTATACTTGCTGCTGCGACCATACTCGTTCAATTTCTAAAGAAATTGTCAAAAATGGGCAAAAAAGTACCTCTAGGAATTTCTAAATAATGTATTGTATTCTTACTTGTCCTAACACAGCTAAAGACGTAACTGCGACGCAGCCGCACGCATCATGATAATTTGCATGCATAGTCAATCGCCTCTCTTCATGTGTGCAGTTGCACATTTAAGTTGATATCGAACACCTTTCCAATGCAAAAAATTCAATTTAGGTGCGACTCATTGTTACGAATTACATTATGTCCTCCGTAAGGGTGTTTTTGCTAAATTTCACTCAAATGAAGATGATTTGAAAAGCTCGAGATTATGACAACGTTCTTCTCCAATTTTGCTGAATATGGGTGAGTGTTAAGATGTTATAAATAGATTCGGGTTTCTCATTAAACCCGAATTTTTCAGTGATCCTAATGGTGATCCGAACTCGTCCTCATCAGAAGATGGGAAAATATGGGAGCGATATGATAGTAAACAGCCGTTCCGTCAAATTCGAATAAATTTGCCACAACCTGTCATGGCTGATGACTATCAGCGGAAGAGGACCGATTTCTGGGACAAGATCATTGCAAGAAATCACGTCAAAGCGATGTTATAGAGCAAATTCCAGCCAAACGTGTATCATTATCTCTAGTAATTAGGTAATCTTATGTGATATCATCTCAGTAATTGTTTTTCTATCATATCCAGTGGTTTTTACAATTAGCAAAAGGTTCCACAGCCTTTCAATACACTTTTAAAGCCTTTTACCTTAATGCCCGTTCTTTTCTGGCTGGTCCATGGGTATTTTCATTCCCTTTTTTCTTTCGAAAATTCAAGTAGCTGTAAAACGTAACGGTTTCTCACACCATCACATGTCTTATGTAATTCTGTACAGGCTTTTTGTTCTCAGAAATCGAAAATTGGTTTATCTTAACGATCTTTTATAGTCATTTGTTCCAACGTGCCGTGTTTTGTACAGATAAATGATTAATTTATACCTGTTCATGTGATGATGATGGTAGTTGGGACTGTTACTCTTCAGGTTTTTTTCCGTCATTAAACTCTCCAACTATTAGGTTAGAAAGAAAAGAATGTCGTTTCGTACAGCAAAGCAAGCTCTACAAGGTGACCTATGAACATTGGCTTAGGTCGTGGTTTAAGGAAAGTTCAAAGCCAAAACATGAGAGCAACTCATAGTGCAAAATATCGGAATTTTGCCCCAAAAAAAAATCATACGAACATCTCACTTGCTCCTGCATGTAGCAGACACATGCACATATTCATATGTGCACTTGCTATACTTTTTCCGCAATCAAAAATCAAGAAAAAATTTAAAAATTGAAAAATCGAAAAACGGCTAAGTTCACCCCTAGTAGTCCTGGTTCCCTCCCATTTAAGCAGTTGTGTACTACGAACCTTTGGGACTTCAACCATAAGTTTTTTGGATTTTGATATACTCCAGTTTCTAAGAAATACAAATTTTAGCTGAAAAAATCCGAAAAAAGCAACATTCTTTTCTTTACAACGTAATAGATAGATGTAGAGATAATGGTAAAACCGAAATTTCTGACGCGCACACTTTGCTACGTAGGGTCTAGTCATTTGTAATTTCCCCTAATTTTATCAGTGCAAAGCTGAACTTCCTCTTTTTTCAATGCGAAGGCTCAGCCGCTTTGTGCTTGGCGAAGCAGCCGTTATGCCATACGGTTCTTTTTGGTATTCAGAAAACTGTAGTGAGAAGTTCGCAGCCTTAAATCGAATTATTTGAAGCGCCGTAGCCCTTGAAAACTCAACCTAGAACGCCGCGGGCCTTGAGATTTTAGTCCGCGGCGAACCGTGTATTTTCAATCGGGCGCTGCGGTGTAGCGGTAATCTCGCGAAGTAACTATCGGGTAATCGCGGCCCTTAATAACTTTTCCGTATAGCTCGGGGGCAAAAGAGTGTAAGCGGTTTGATGTTGGAAGAAAGCAGACGTAAAAGATAGACGAACAAAGCAAAAGAGAGGATTCCTGCTTACGTTGTTCATTTTGTATGCCTTTCTAACTATCAAACATTCCTTTTTTCAAAAGTCGATGTTCTTTATCATCATGAATATTTCAAAGCATTGCCGAACATTTTCAGCGTTTTCATGTACAGATCCTACATTCGGTGGTCAATGCGCCTCTTGTTGTGTCATCTAAGGTTAGTTCTGACAGTCCGTTAATCTGCCTTGGCTTTGGTACTGGTCACGGGATTGAATGATATCCTGAGCTTTGATGTTGGCGTCTGAGTGGATGTGTCACTTATACATTCGACATTCCAGGCTCTGACGAAGGCAAAGAAGCCGAAACGTTGGACGGTTGAATAAAAAGTTATAACATCTTGGTTGCTGCTCAAAGGGACGAGACATCACAAACTTTTTTCTTCCTTACGAGTTCCTAAAACGGTTTTTATATTGTTCTAAGTACATGACTTTTCCAATGATATCAATGTTTTGCAAGACTATCGTAACGGGAAGAACTTACTATCCTTTTTAAAGTGGTGCTACAGAACTTTTGGTTCAACCTGATAGCTTTTAGCGTTGTTGAGTTGTACTAAGGGTGCTGGGAATTCGGAAGGTTTCTAGCAACTACTTTATTGACTCTAAAAGCATTTCTAACAGCAGATTTGGCTTAACATTGGCATACAACTCAAAGCATACATATTCCTATCTATAGGCTAAACCCCTAACCCAAGCTTGTAACTCTACTGTACTACAAAGCCATCGAACATTTTATATAAGAGCGGTTTTGCTTTGCCATCTGCCATACCACATCGCTCTGATTCTGAAAAGATCTTCATAGTTGAGGTAATCGCACTTTAAACATACCTTTAATTGCAAAAGTGTTTTCTCCTTTTTTCTAAGCATCCAGTAGCGATCCGTATTGTTTCTGCAGCAAAAAAATCATTGCATTTGATGAATATGCTCGCATCATGCTGGCGGTAGTATTCAGGAAACGGTATTCATTCGCATACTACTATCTTTTATCTTCAGAAAGATTTGAGCAGTTTAGTCGTATACCTAATTTCACGAGTACAAGCCTTTTACACTTTTTCGTGCAAGCAGCTCGGTCATACCACTGAGTCTCGCAAACTGATTGCTCTTCTAAATGCTTTTAACAAGGAAATGGTCAGAAATCGAAGTGGCCAAATCAAGCTAACTGCACACCATTAGACGCAGCATTAAACGCTGACTCTAAATCTGTCTTCCTTATCTGCAGAGCACTTTTGTGGATGAAATTATAAGCCGTTAAAGGCCATTATTTTGCTAAGAAATTGTGCGCGTAAAGTGCAAGCTTGGCCGTATAAAGCCATTCTCGGCTCGGTGTTGGATCAAAACATGCAACTAGGTCACTTCATATGACTCGTACTTAGAAGTGAGCTATAAGAGCAAAAATGTTCCTGATTTCGCAATTTTTATGTACGATTTTTTCGCAGTAAAGCTGCTCATAACTTCGTCTACAAAGGCGCTCTGCAGATATGGAAGACAGATATGAATTCAGCATTCTATGCTGCATCGAATGGTATGCAGCTTATTTGGATTGGCCACTTTGATTTCTGACCATTCCCTTGTAAGTAAGGAGCACCACGGTAGAGGGTCTTTTGGGCGCGAAAATCGCTGATTTAGGCTGTTTAGGTTTCTGTTCAGAAAAAAATCGAATGCGCCTTGTACTCGTGAAATTAGCTAAGGAAGCAGTGTGCTCATATATGAGGTAAGCTTGAGCGTGTGGTCTCAACAAATAGCCTTTTACGTTCTGCCATAGACTTAAACATTTGCCTCCGCCCTGCGAGCATGCACCGCAATGCAAGCGTCTCGATCTGGCGTTTTGTCAGCTAAAGTTTTTGCTTGGTGTAGGTCATCGCAACTGTAATACGTCAGAAAAATTCGAGATAGTACTCCGTCGTGCGAAACACAGCGACGACTTCTGCCTACTCAGACAACTGGCCGGAACTTCCGCAGCGCTTTCGCAGGGTTTCCGCAGGTGACCCGGCGGAAATCCTGCGAAAGCGCTGCGGAAACCCTGCAATCTCAGGGTGCAGGGTTTCCGCAGCGCTTTCGCAGGATTTTCGCAGCACTTTGCGCTTTTGATTCGCGATCCCTTCCTTCCATATCAAACTTCCTTTTTAATACTAGATTTTCCTTTCCAATACTAGGTTTTCGCTTTTTACTAAGGCATTATTCCTTTGATGTGGAAATTAGACTTTCTAGATGCTAAGAAACGTAGAAGCGAGATAGTTTTAATGAGAAAGCAAATAGCACAGTGTATTGTTTTATGCAGGTACCATGTAGAATCACAATAGGCCGAAGTTGATAAGTGCAAATTAACAGATCAACGAAGCGTTCATAAATAAATATACATAAAATCACAGAAGCATTCGAGTATATATGCATAACCGAATAAGGTTGGAAAAAATCGGCAGATATCAAGAATTAAAAAGCAATGTTATGCTGATGGAAGAGTAAAGAATTATGGAAGAATAGAATAAAAACAAGAATAACAGTCTCATTCACAAAGGATAATATGCGCTTCAAAGGGAAGATGGTCCTTTGGGGAAGTAAACCGTTTCCACTCATCGCGTGTCATTTTGACCTTGCCCGGGCGACTGATGCCGGCTTCGGCCTCCCTTCCTTTCTGTTATGAGAATTATTGAAATTTCTTGATGTAAATCGTTCCTTCAAGTGTTCCACTTTGCAACTTCTTCGCCAAGAAATACGAAGCAAATTTGGAGATTCATTTAAAATTTTGTGAAATTTTGAAATCTCAACAAGAGAAGCTCTGAGATAAAACATGGCTTTACTTCGACTTGAATTTTTTTTGAAAGTTTCAAATTTGAAGAGACAGAACTTTTGTTTCAATCTAATATTCCAGCATTTTCCACGCAAAACAAGTATATGTCAGACTCTAAGGCAGGTATGGGTAAGTGAAAGTTATGGTAAGTTATTGTTAAATTTTCATAAATCAATACTTAGAAAATAATACTATTGAACCAAAAGCTCGTCCCCATCCTTTTCAAAAATTCGAAACTTTCTTCTTTCACATCCGATCTGCATATGTTTATTCTGAAGGAAGACATGCTCTTTTTAATGGTACCTAAGGCACTTTTTGATAGCTCCAGAAATCAAAGTCGGTGAAGAAAATTACTCCATTTTGATATTCCCCATGTTTAGTTTGCAAAAATCTGCTTGCAGAAAATCGGAGCAATCGGTATCATAGCTATTATTACCTACTCTTTTTGAATGTACAAAGATTGCGCTGATTGAACGTCTTTTAAAAAGTTATGATCAGGGTCGAGCAAGAGGTGTGGCACACGATCACTGGTTACGCCCCCCTCTAATTGCTGTCTCAATAAGACCCCCCCTTCTGAACGGTTTACCTAAGATAGCATTACTTGAAGGCCCTGTCAAACACAACGGGCGATATATCCATAATTAGCATGTGATTTAACCCCTGTAGACAAAGTTTGAGCGAATTCTGAAGTTTCAAGACGCTAACCCATCTAAGTGAAATGGTCATTTTTCAACATGATTCGCTTTGTTTCAAAGGTGAATTAGCTACCAGTTTTTGCGCTCAAGACGAAACACTACTCCTTTTGCCCACCTCAGAAATCCCGCTTCAAAAGACCCCGAAACTGTGGAAATAAAAGCCAACCAAAATCTCGTTTTTCCCATTTTTTGCTTTTGCTGGCTGTGCTTTCACCAGATATTAATCAGACCTAAGAAGACGAATCAAACTCAAATCATTCCCGTGGAATCTAGGAGACTTAGGTTATCGATTCATATTGAAACTGTTCCCTAAAAATGTTTTTTTTTTGATATAGTAATGGGGAGTGGCACCCCTTAGAAGCTGTGGCGGCCACCACAGCTTTCAAAGCAGTGTCCAAGCAAAAAGTCGATTTTGAGATTTTGTGCTTACCCGGGCCTATTCGCCATGCTGGATCCGCTAAACAACATTGAAGAGCGCGAAAACGACGAAAAAAGGCTCTAACGCAGGAGGGAAATCGCAAGTGAGCGGGGCCGTTCACACCGTGACGTCACTCTTCCAGGCTTTAGGAGCGATCTTCTCGGTTCCGATTTTATGTCATGCGTTTCGCAGTAGGCTGGTGGTGATGTTGGGGCGATTAGCGTAAGCGAGAAGATCGCTCCTGAAGCTGGGAGAGTGACGCCACTATGTGAACACCCCCGCCCACCTGCAATTTTCCTTTTCCGTTCAAGCCTTTTTTTTGCCGTTTGTGCGCTCTCCAGTGTTGATTTTCGGATTCAGCATAGCGAATAGGCCTAGGTAAGCACGAAATCTCGAAATCGACTTTTTGCTTGGACACTGCCTTTAAAGGCAGTGTCCAGGCTAAACCTAATCCCTCCGATTAGTGTCGGTCCTGAATGTAGGCCCCAGAAAAGGGGCATTTGCGTTGGTCCGGTCTTCTAACGTTGTCTCTGAATGGAGATAAGGGGCCTGAAAGTCCCTGGCTGGGCGGGGTCTGATATCAGACTCCGCCCACCAGGGACTGCTCACTACCTTGTCAATACGTGCTTCCCGACACGTATTGACAAGGTAGTGAGCAGAAGCTGCACACTGCACACTGCGATGCAACTGCACCCATGCAGTTGCAGCTCCTTCCCGCTGGCCTGCCGACGGGGAGCAATTCGAAACTCGTCACAAATATTATGTTATCACTAATATCAGAATACCGACTACGATCCCCTCCCTTTTGACTCCTCAATACGAACCCCCAGGGTTGCCTGTCACACCCCACGCTTGACCCTGGTTATGATTTAAATAAATAATTATAAGCAAATAAAGAGAATTACTACAGTTTTGCAATTTTTGAGCATGTTCAAAAATGCCCAAAACGTCACAGGAAAGACGGGATATTTATGAACATGGTTTTTGTGACCTCCTTTTAGCTGAGAGAAATTCGTGCCAATCGAAAGCAATTTTGATTTTCGTGGAAAATCAGATTCGAAAACTCGGTAATATTACGAAAATCAAAACCGCTCTCGATTGGCACGAATTTATTTCATTTAAAAAGAGAAAATCATTAAACCCATGTCTACATGACTTTCCCATCCCTCCCGACGCAAAACTGAAGCAATTCTCTTTATTTGCTTCTAATTCTCAACTACTACACATACTACAGTGCATTTTTCAAAAACAAAAAAGATTGAGAATTAGAAGCAAATAAAGAGAATTGCTTCAGTTTTGCGTCGGGAGGGATGGGAAAGTCATGTAAACATGGGTTTAATGACCTTCTCTTTTTAAATGAAATAAATTCGTGCCAATTGAGAGCGGTTTTGATTTTCGTAATATTATCGAGTTTTCGAATCTGATTTTCCACGAAAATCAAAATTGCTTCCGATTGGCACGAAGTTCTTTCAGCTAGAAGGAGGTCACAAAAGCCATGTTCATAAATATCCTGTCTTTCCTGTGACGTTTTGGGCATTTTTGAACATGCTCAAAAATTGCAAAACTGTAGTAATTCTCTTTATTTGCTTCTAATCCTCAATCTTTTTTGTTTTTGAAAAATGCACTGTAGTAAAGAGCATAGCTTTCTCTATCCAAAAATACTTCCAGAATTTTTTGGTGACCCTGCTTGAAAAATGCCAATTTTGAGTAACTTTCTTTAGTTGCTTCTAACTCGTGAACTTTCTTAAGCCAAGTCATTTCAGAGATACCGTTGTAAAGAGAATGATTTTCTATCTTAGAAGAATATAAACGCAAAGAGATCCATCGAGTCGTAGGGAAGTTACGATTCTTTGAAAAACTGGCGAACGTACTTTTGGTCCCTTATACTTTGAATCTGAAAATTTTTGAAAGTTTTTCAATATTCACCAAAAGCTTATACATAGATCATGAAAATTTCGGAGACCCATTATTCCCCCCCCCTCTCCCCTTCGTTTTGATATATTTCTACTCAATCACTTCTTCTTTATCTAGAACAAGTGCATATCTTCTACAAAGTGATAGTTTTAAATTGCTTGCGTTATTATTTCAATCGCACATAAAGCAAAGAAGTTCGACATACCTGAACAAGGGCGTTATGCTTAGACGAAGTCCCTCCGTTGAGTCCTTTTCCAGCACTCCAGCAGCTTGGTGATGGTTGTTCACCCACCTGCACCGATGCCTGAAAGAATACTTAGACTATGGATGAGTACAGGTTTATTAACGCCAACATTGAAGAAAGGAAGAAAAAAGAGAAAGAAAATAGGAGGCAGAAGCGAAACAGTATGGAAGAAAAGAGTGCGCTATGCGCTGTTGATGTTGCGTTTGCCATTTCGCAATCGCAAGTGCATGCGCTCTCAAAGTCCTGCGGAAATGCTGGCGGGTCAAATTGCTGCGGAAACCTTACGAGCCTCACTGCACTTTCGCAGCGCTTTATGGAAAGTGCTGCGGAAGTTCCGGTTTACGATCGCTGTGACGTCAATTTCCTGCGGAAACCTCGCATTCTGGAGCGTGCACTTTCTCAACGGTTAAGAAAGTGCTGCGGAAACGCTGCAAGTTCTGCTTGTCCTGCGGAAGTTCCGGTGAATTGTCTGAGTACGCGAGAGAGGAGAGAGAGAGAGAAATTTCCATGTGCGCGACTTTTTGAGACAAGTCATGCGGGTGACTGCTAGATACTTTGATGCCTTTTTTTCCAGAATTTCGGAGGTACAGACTTAATACGCTTATCCTCGAAAGAATGGAGAATTTTTTTTTGGAAAAAAAGTTCTCAGATTTTCATTATCTCCAGAAGTAAAATAAGCGTGTTTTTCTGTTATATCAACAGGATGATCACTCATTCATAACTAGAGTCCTGCAATGCGTGCTATTCTGTTCAAATAAAGAACCTCGAGTGGTAGTTATTTGGTCGAAACCATCATCACAAAATATAAGGGAAGGATACCTGGTCAAAATGCTGTCTGGTCAGACGTTATTGTCAAACGCGATGTATGATTTCTCATAGAACATGGAACATCGATTCTAAATCTGCTTTCGTTATCTGCAAAGCGCTTTTGGGATGGGAGTTATGAGAATTTTTTGAGGCAACAATTCATGGTTTTGGCTAAGGTAAAAACGAGTGTTGAGCTCTTTCAGGCACTTGAGTGGAGTAACGATCATCTTAAACTTATTAGACTGACGGTATTAACTATACGAAGCGTCCTGGTTGTAATCATGACCCAATCCGCGCTATAGACTATAGTCAGGGCCCGGCACCGATGGTTTGGGGTCAAACTGGACTTCGTTTTTGGAGTTAGAAGCAACGGGGACATCGTTTTTATGAGGTTCTGGAGGAAGCGCCAAAAAACACGACGAACATGTCAGGTTTCACGAGTTGAACGTGTTCTTTCGCAAGCGCGCGAATTTCAAATGCAAGACTCAAACAAACAAATGGCTTGTTTACAGCGCACAAACAATCACATGGCTCCGAATTTGGGCTATGGGTATACAATATTACTCCAAACTATGTTATGTAAAAAGTTCCCAAAACTTATGTGTCTGAATACCCGTTCCGGATTTGTTGGTTTCTAGACCAACCACCGAACCAACTGGGTTGGTTCGGAGCATAAATTTCGGAGAGTTCACATAAGTTTTGGACCTTTTTGATTTGGACGATTAAAACGCTCAAAAATCTATTATATAGTGAAGAGAGCGAATCAAACTATTGCCTCTCCTCTTCTTTTGAGCCAAAAGTAGTGCAAATCTATACGCCTTGATAGATATTGCGCTCCACACATGCGGTGTCCTTTGAACTAAGTGGCGAAAAATGCACTGCCAGATTGTTGAGGACACAGATTTGGTTGGCCTAGAGGTTTCGACATTCTGAGCGCTATGGTACGCTACCCAATGACAGAGCCTTTAATCAACTCGAAATGTTTTCTTTTTGCTTTTCTTGTTGTATTAGTTACCTCAAAATGCGCTTTTTTCGCTTTTTCAATGTTATTTTGACTAATTAAGGGTTTCCCTACTGATTTTTACGTCAAGAGGGACTTCGTGAATTCTCGCGAAGTCATGGGGGACTTCGTTTCCAGAAACGCTTCAAACCAACGCGTGCCGGGCCCTGACTATAGTTCTGAATAATTTTATTGTTTTTGCGCGAATTCTCTGTGTCAAAAATTTCCATGACTCCCCTCCAGAACAGCTTTGCAGATAACGAAAGCAAATTCGGAATCAGCGTTTCATGCTCTATAAGAAGGTATATATTTTCTGCGAAAACGCCACTTCGACAAGTATCCTTCCCTTGCGTGTATTTATTTAGGTAACCAGCAGCTTCATATTATCTTTTCAATAAAACCACAAGGGGAAAATCACTTTTGGACAGTTTTTCATTCGATTCTGAATTTAGCAAAGTGTTGGTATCGGAGAGAGCGAATCGCCAATCATTCTCATGCTTGCCCACCTCCATAACATTTTACGAAATTGCAGTTCGGTCTTTAGACCTGCATTCTCCCATAATCTTATTTAAAAGGTCACCAAGTGAGAATTCCTTATTGTGAACCAATAACCTTCCTCATTTCTCTTGACATCTAAAAGCACTTTTCCAATTGGAAAGTGGTCTGGTCTGGGGTACTTCATCATTTTGAACAATGATGTGATGGTATCATTGAAATAGTACCAATAGAATGAAGTGCTATTTTCACTCTCTATCTAATAATGAAACAATGATGTTAACCTGCTGCACGATTATGAAACAACAACGGTAACCTCCTTATTACTTGCTTTTCACGACTTTGCATGACTGAAATGAGAGGCCGTCAAAAATGATTATGGTTAGCACGAGGTAACCATGGTCATCAAGTCATCACATTATGTGATGGTTACCACCAGTTACTACCACCTGATTTTTCACTAGTCTTACTTCTATTACGTTTGTCACCTGCGCAAATGGTAGGCTTAAACCACTCCATAAACTCACCAAGCATTTATAAATGTAGACAGAACAAAAGGGCATGCAGCATACAACGATTCTGCGATCTCAACCCATGTTCCCTTTCAAACATTCCTAGTTTGCATCAATCCATCGCAATTTTCTATGGTGGTTCAAGAAGAGATAAAAGTAAAATAAAAAAGCATAAGCCTAGAATCAACTACATCATTTCCAGCTGACAACATGCTTAATCGAAACGTCTGCAGCATGGTGCGTTGCCCTTCCAGAAAGAGCGTGCCAAGTTTACGGTAGCGGAGTAGAACATGTCTTACCAAATCCGCTTTACTCTCTTTCCAGAATACAGTTCTATCTGACTACAGTAGTTCTATGCCAGCCCTTTATTTTGCGCTCCATTTAGTAAAGATTCACTGGGTCTTCAGAAGTGATTTTCGAATTAAAATGCCTATTCCCTCAATCTCCCGATATGATTATAAACACGAGGGAACTTGCCAATGAGTGCGACATACCTTAGTACTGGTCTTGTATCAAGCTTCTGATCATGGGTATTCCCGTTGTTTACAGATGACGTCTTGTCAAGTGGCGTCTTTAAAATGTTTACATCACGAAGGTGAGCCATTACAGCTGACATAATTTCTTACCGTACTCTGCAGCAAATCAACAGGAGTTCTCAAAGATTTCATGGATTTAGTATATCCATCGGCTTTCATTACCGAAAGTAAACAAACTTGGAAAGGGTCGCAGACGAAAAGTGCCTTGTAATCTTCCAATACTTTCTGAAATAGGAAAAACCAAATATTTGATTTCTTCATGTCATATTCAACGACATATCACATATATTAGGTTGGCACATAAGTAATACAACTTTTTGCATGACTTTTGTCTATTTGAACGTAGCGCATTCATTTTTTGGCAATATAAGGAATATAATGTAAGCTTCTAATGCACACATTTTTGCCGAATTTTACCACCTTATGTGAGGATTACGGTAGGTTTGCGGTACTATGGGGAAAATTTTAGAATGCATCAGATTTTGCTGAAACTTGGCCTATAAGGCTTATTTGACATGCTGAGCACAAAAATGGGATCCGTTTCGCATGAAAAGGCCTCGTTGAATTTCATTTTAGCGACAAATGAATATGATATTCGTGTTTACCGCATAGGATTACCCTATAGTGCAAAGCTATAGCGAATTCTGACTTTTCGCAGCTTAGTTATTGACAAATTGCCTTCAAAACTTGACGCATTTGACTTGTTCAACTTCTCAAAGGCGCCCCACCTTAATTTGTGTTTGAATTTCATTTCTTTTTCACTGATTTCAATGTGCCAACTTCCAGCTACATGCTGCCTATAATTGCTTTTTCATATGTTTGAATCAGGTTTCGTAGGGCTTCATGTTTGCCAAAAAATCGTGAAACCTCGATTTTCAGCAGTTTTCAAAAAATGCTTAGATTTTTTGTACTACGTTATCAAAAATCAAACGGTTTGCGCAGACTTGCAGCTTACATCACGATCTACATGACGCCACAAAATGAGATTGCTATATAAAATAGGAAAAAAAGTTACGGTAAAAGTTGCAAAACTTATGTGCCAACCTAATACAAGCTTACAGTATTGTCGTCACTCTGAAAGTTCATTCTTCCTGGTCGCAGAACTTTCAAGTTACCAATCACGTTGAATAGATTGTCGAGTAAGCCTCTTAGCTGAAATTTCATCGTCAGAGAGATCATGTACTGACGGTTTATACTTCAAAATCATATCGTGTAGCTTTGGTTATTTCTTTTTGAGGATCACTCGTTCTCGTGCGCAGCATCCACTTCAAGACCAGAAATCTGCAAATCATCGCATATCAGGATATAATGTCGAGGTTTTTAGATTTGTTATCGTAGAGTTTTAATACATGAATATGAGAGTGTTGGCATTTGTTGGTATGTTAAAGGCTAGCAGCAGCTATAAAAATGTATGAACTGGGAAATTCACACAGCGTAGTTACGCCATGCTACTCTCGTAGCCAAACATGCAAGGTGAACTATTGTTGGCTGTGTCGTCTGCGGTCTGTTGTCAAAAACCTATCTATCTTTAGAATAAAGTCGATCAATATTGTGAGTTGATGTTCTATCACTTTGCCGCACAGGTTGGAAGTGGAACTCTATTGACCTAACTTTCGATCAACTCGTCTTTGTTGGAGATCTGAACAGAATTGTAGTTTACGTGTCTGTTGCCCTGTGCCACCAAACATTCTGAGTCTGCTTCGCTTGACGTAGTCTCAGATGCAACGTGATGAGCGCATCGAACAAGGGCAAACGAACCTCCGCAGGGTCCAAATTTCGCGACGTACATCGCGCAGTTTAGCTTAACCCGCATCGTACAGTCGTAGCCCGCACTAGACTAGGACGGGCATCACTGAACTGTATCCAGCGAGTCCTTCTATTTACAGTGTCCTCGCAGTTACATGAGCAAAATCGAAGAACCAGCTCGCAGACTTACCAATGATGTACCTGCAGATACATCGATGATTGCTGTATCTAATTTCATAACAATCCGAAATGAATGAATGTTCCGATTTGAACCAGCAATCGCAGTGCACCGGTTTGAGGGCCGGGCATACTTAACGCGATTTCATTCGCGACCGATTTGGCAATATTCCGACTGTCTATAACTCACTGTAAGCACACTTCAAACGTACAGAAGACAGGGCATTTTATCAATCCACATAAGTTATACATAGTGTGCATGTGCGGTTTGCTAGTCTTGGATCTGAAGACTTCTGGCGAAATGCCAGATCGCGTCGCGACTGAAATCGCGTGAAGTATGCCCGGTCCTTTACACCTGAAGCAGCTCGCGGTAGACGGCTTTTCTTTTTGGATACGCAGGTGCACTTACCTAACGATATGGTTCGCATAAAATGGTACTGAAAGGTGAGCTAAAGAAATATCATCTTATGCGCTATGTCAGCTCACCCCCTCAGCAATTATCCTGATTAGCATTCCTAGCGATATTATCAAACGGCTGGTTGGAAACAGAGGTGTGATAGTGGGAGCCGATTCTCCCCCTACCTTCACTTTTGAGCTGGTACAGGGTGACCACCTTCACTTTTGGAATGAAAATTTTTTTCGCGGAACGATAAAGAAGGAAAGTAAGCAAAACAAGCGCAAAAAAGATTATTGAAAGCATATTTTTATATACACGGATATACAGGGTGTCCCAAAAGTAAGTACATACTTTTCAATCATTAATATCTCTCTTCCCATTGCGTATTTTTCCGCCATTCAAGTACCATTCTGTAGATGAGGCTTCAACTTAGATTTGCAGTATCGAGCGAATTACCGTTATTCTTCATTACTGTAGGATTACTTCGACAAGAATTTTAGGCCATTGGAAGCCATACTCTGCCTAGGAACAAAACCAAACAAGCCAAAAACTCCTATACTATGGTAATGAAAGCCGCTAATTTCAAATATGAAAATCCTACTCTACTATGGTGCTTCTTTCCAAGGTTATGCCAGGTAAACCGTAATAACGGAATTTCCAGTATTTGTCAGAAATGTAATTACACCAAAAAATCTGGAAACACTCGTGAAAAGTTGTATAGTGGAATCAGCGTGCGCGAAAACCTTAGTAAACGATTTTTCAGATTTAAAAAAAATCTTGTTAAATCGCATTTTTCACAATGGTTCCACATGCTGAAAGTTCTTACCGTAATCCTACAGTAATGAAGAGGGATCGGTAATTCGCTCAATAGTGAGAGTCTAAGTTGAAACCTCCTCTACAGAACGGTACTCGACTGGCAAAAAAAGACCGATTGAAAAGAAATATAAAAAGAGAAAAAAGGAAAAGAGATATTGACGATTGAAAAGTGTGTACTTACTTTTGGGACACCCTGTATATTTAAAATAAACGCGTTTGGTAAGTGGTGTATTTGGAAGTGAAAGTTAGCATGACTGTACGGATTTTATTAGGTAAATTTTTTCATAACGTACTGCGAAGAAAGTAGGTCGATCCAGGGAATAACCGCAGAGAACCAGAATTTTGAATAATAAAGTAGGAAAAAATCATGCGAAATTTCCATTGTTATAAATCTGACGTATGAAGATGTCAGCAATTGCGACTTTATAGATTTTCAAGAGTATGCTCTATCAGATAGTGAAAGAATCAGTCTGATTTGAGAAGTGATCGCCGAGAGACAGACTTTTAAAAATTAGGCCATTTTAGGTTGCTTAGTGACAGCTGACAGTTAAACTCGTAGAAATCCCGAATATGAAGGTATGTGATGTTACGACTTCATAGGCTTTGTAGGGTAAGGTGTGCCTTATCAGAATATACCTTAGCCGTACCGATCCATTGAAACAGCGCTGTGATCCAGGGTCTTGAAGAGCAGGTAAAAAAAGCGCTTTTTGAAATTTAACAGCTCATAACTTCTTAAGAACCGCATGAACCACGTTGCGACTTCATAGGTTAAATTCTTCTTATTAAGAGCTTTTAGAAGATTTATAATATGTGGGAGTTTAGCACCTACTACGACTTATGCCCGGGGGACATCACAAATTCTCCCCCCAGCCCACTTTAATACATAGGTGCGACAGTGTGAGAGTTTGCTCACCCCCTCTTCACCCCTGAACCGGAACCAAGGTGACCCCCTTCACCAAAAGCCGAGGAAGGAAATCAGCAGCGAGGTAAGGTTAGGCAAAGTAGATATTTGTACGGGAATTGTTTGTGTATCGGAAAGGAGGAAGAAGACTCATAGGGATTCACGAATTTCCAAAAGGAAAAAAAATAGTAGCTCCTGTAGTTGCACACAACGTCAGCGAGGAGTTTCGTGAAACAGCGTTGCCCTCTGATTTTATGGAATAAATAGTTTGAGTTCCCTTCATAGAACCTAGTGAAAGGTGTGCCTAGTGATTTCTGTGTATGTTCGAGTTTTCAAAATAAAAAGTTCATAAATTTTGTAGATGGATAGCTGCTACACGGAAATAGTCACCGTCGGGGCCGCCTCGTCTTCCGCTTTCAGAAAATATACCGCATGTCTGAGATCCGCTCAAAAAAGTGCCTGGATGAAGGGTGTTCCGCTCAAAAAAGTGCTGGATGAAAGGTGTGCCTAGTGATTTTTAGAGATTTTCGAATTTTTATAAAAAATTCATAACTTATGTAGATGAACATCCTGTATGCCGAATGATCACCGTTGGAATCGCCTCGTCCTCTACTTTCAGAAAATACTAGCTGGCAAACCCGGCTGCGCCCGGCCCTGTCATTATTATATTCGTAATCAGCATGCTCGATTACTCCCCTGTGCCAACTCCCAGCCCCGTAGCTCAAATTTTGCAAAAAATCGATAAAATCGATATCGATCGATAACGAAAAGTAGCCTATGACACGCTCCCTGCCCCGAAGTATATGTGTGCCAAAATGGTCCAAATCGGGTTGAAGTAAAAATTTCTACTCCGCACATACGTACAGACATACAGACAGACATACAGACATTCAGCTTTATATATAAGATATACTCTGCCTGGAGTTCATTACAAAAAGTGCCGGGTGAAAGTTGGATGAGACTTTTATAATGGGAGGGCTCAAGTAGACGTTTTTTTTACAATGGTAAAAAAGCCTCCACTTGAAAACCCTCATTATAAGAGCCTCACCTACCTTTCACCCGGCGCTTTTTTAACGGATCCCAGGCAAAGTACCCTATTTTCAGGTGTATAACCCGCGGGGTGGTCCTAGCTTACATCGATTAGCCCGAACACATCAATGGACCTCACATCCAAAGGACCCTATACCGTGCTGCATATTGTCTGAAAGAATCGTGCAGCGTAAGGATCGCTTCTCGAAACACAATGAAGTGGCTGAGCAGCCCGGGCGAAAATTTGAAAAAGTACGGCTTATACACCTGAAAATAGGGTGTATTTTCTTCATATTTTCTAAAAGCGGAGGACGAGGTGGTTCCGATGGTGACTATCTCGGCGTAAATATGTTCATCTAAAAAAGTTACGAATTTTTTATGTTAAAAACCCGAAAAGCTCCAAAAATCACCACCCACACCCTTCGCCAGGCACTTTTTTGAACGGATCTCAGACGTGCTATATATTTTCTAGAAGAGAAAAAAAGCTGATTCTGAAAACATTTTTCTTGCTAACGTTTTCATCTACAGAAAAAATGAATCTACTCGACTCTACTTTTTTCTTTCATAAATTCGTAAATGCTCAAAAATTGTCTACCTCTTTCCCGAAGCAGATGTTCTCGCATACACATCTTCTATTACATGGTACTTTCGAAAACAAACAGGGTGGTTCCATTCCTACTTTAATCTTCAAATTCAAGAGAAAAGACAACAAATGATGGCAGAGAATTGAAAATGATAAGGCGTTGATTAGGGAAAATGATGAGAAAACACCATCACTCTCTTGTCCCCCCCCCTCCCCTCAGTCGACATTTTAGAATTTCTCGATCGTGAAATGCTCTTCACCCTGGAGGGGTCATTCTCACCTCATCGCACCTATGCTCTCGCAGTCTGACTATGAACAACAGAAATGAATGTCTGACGATAAGAAGTGATCTACTACCTTGCTAGCATTGTGAGCTCGACACCGCACACTATAAAAAGAAGGAATTTCGATACCATTTAGTGATGTCCGTCACACCAGTTCTAGTGCGGACCTACTGATTCTACAGTGTGGGTTGGGCCAAACTGCCCTGTTGGAGGTTCGTTTGTCATCGTTCGATGTGCTCAGTACGTTGCATCCGAGATTACTTCAAGCGAAGCAGACTCAGAAGAGATGCTTGGCGGCGCAGTAGCAACAAATACCTAAACTACAATCCATTTCAATCTCCGACGAAGACGAGTGTTAGAAACGTTAGGTCAATAAATTTCCACCACACCAACCTGTGGGTCATAAGTAATAGAACATCTATTTATAGTCAAAGATGCCCAGATTTTAAGACGAAAACTGTTAGAATCTTCAAATAATATTGATAACTAGCATGAGAGTCACCTGATCTGGTCGCTAACAACTGTAGAACGTAAGTTGTTTTGTCCACTTTCTGACTCATCTATGTAGACAGCCTGTTAAAATCAGATGTACAAGTGATAAATGTGACGCAGATGAGAAATCCATAACAAAAATTGCACCACTCATATGACCAATCCATAACCTTTGATTCAACTGGCTTTTTAAAAGGCGGGGCTTTGTGGCTTAATCAAGGAGCAGGAGCGCCCCCGACGCACCTGCGTCTCTCTCGCGCGAGTACTCTCTGATAATTACCTAGCATTGATTACAATATTACTTCTACAGCCACCGCGTCTTACCATTATCCAAGCGTAAAATCAATTGCATTGCGTACTTTACGGAAATCGCTTATGTTACGTATAAATTCCCAATAGTGGCGTCATGGTAAGGAATCTTGTTTCTTTTGTCATTCTCCTCCTACGAGGCAGACCCATCGAGCAGTCTTTTGTTGCACGCACTAAGATGGTTTCTGATAAAGAAAATCCTTCCTCTTTTTTTGCTCTAAGTCAAAGTTTACGCGAAACCATTACCAAGGACTTCAATTTTGGAAAGCACATGATGTGCGCTTATACATTGATGGTTTGTTTTATCTGAAGTGCATTCGCTCCTTAATACAGTTGAGGTACGAACAAATGCCAGAAACAAAAGATTGCGTTACTGTCTTTCAGTCTATCGAAGCGACTGATAGAACACTTTAGAGTCTAAAGTCTTTTTCCTTCGAATGAGTTGACAGAAGCAAAAGCATTTAGAGCAAACATGTCGTGGATCTTGGAAAAGCACCAGTACCTTCTGCACAGTCCACTGCTCACATTGCTTTCACTATGCAAAGAACCACTAGCTACAATGCAACCAATTGTAAGTCAAAAAGCAAAGAATCTGTCCGAGACCTCTCCGAAATCACTCCAAGACCTCTCCGAGCGACTAGAAACTGCGCAAAGTTCAGTTTACGAGCGCTGGGACATCCGTTTACATTTCATAAACTAAGAAGACAGAAAACAGCAGTCCTCGCCCAGCAACATCACAGACCGCAGGAGAAACAAGATTTCTTACCATGACGCCACATGTAGGCGATTTGGGCGTAAAGTAAGTGATTTTCTGTAAAGTACACGATGCAATTGATTTTATGCCTAATTTACGGTAAGACGCGGTGGTTGTAGAAGTAATATTGTGCATTGATGAGGTAACGAAGCCCCGCCTTCCCGAAGCCAAGCCAGTTGAATCAAGAGGTACGTTCCTTTCTGAGCTTACATATAGAGCTTCCACTTTTCTGCACTTCTTTTTCGCCTTGACCTCCAGGTACTTTTGCGTCCATAACGTGTTCAAACGTTCTCTTACAAGCAGTGGGAGGTACCCCTAAAGGTCTGATCTTTTTTTTGTAATCAAGTGGGTAAAAGATGACGTTTTTTCGAATCATACTCACTCTATCGGCTACACTCGTTCATTTAATATTTGATTATGTACGAAGGCAGGGCATAGCGCGTTTTACTTAACATAAGTGGGAGTGCAAACGTTAGTACTAGACATTACCAGGGCCACAGAAGAACCCAAAAATAGAAATTTCCAAAACTTGGTTGTTCTTTAATTCATGATGAACCTTCAGTAAAAGTAGTAGAACGCCTGCTATGCTAAAAATCTCGAGCAGATATGGAATGCCATACAAGTATTACTTCTGGATGTTGTTAATCGTTTTTGCTTTAACAGTTTTCCCATAACTTCAAACCAAGGAAGGCGAAGAAGATGTTACACCAGCTTCCAGAGACTCAGCAATAATTAGGATCTCCAAATAAAGTGGTTCTTAGGATAAAAACAAGTGGTGAGAACCTTGGAGAGAGGCAGGAGCGGAAGAGTGTCTACTTCGAATGTCGATCACTACGAGGATTTGCAGGATTCAGTTTTGGTAGCTGTATTCATCAAGGCGCTTAACGGCTAGAGGTCACGAGATTGGTCTACACGAAACTTGTAGGTTCCGGAACCCAAAGGGTTCAGAAGCCTACCCACTAGGTTCGGGAACCCAGAAGAGCCTCTTAATCGGTACCCACAAGTCCAGTGAGTTTGCGAACCCATACCGAAGTCCACTATTCGCGGACCTTTTCCACGAATGGACCTTTAACCTTCGAAATCATTATGAGAACGTGCTTCAACCTAGGCACTCAGTTAGGAGCGAGTTACCGGTTGCTCTTCGTTTTCAAAAGTTTAGGGTAGGAAGCTTTTATTATTCAGCGCGATTGTGAACAAGGCCCGATCGATGGAGTAACTCAACTAGAATATTTGAAAACTGGCTTGCTTACCCGGCTCCGCCCGGTTCAGTGGAAACTATGATAAAGGTTCCATCCTTATCCGTGCAGATTCCTTCCCTGTGCCACTTCTCCGTGCAAATTCCCTGTCCCCGTCTTCTCAGCATGCTCACTTACCCCCTGTGCCAACTCCCAGCCTTCTAGGTTAAACTTTGCAAAAAAATCGATAAATTCGATAAAAGTAATGGATAAATCAAAAAACTAATACTGTATTCGTAATCAGCATGCTCACTTACCCCCTTGTACCAACTCCCAGCCCCTTGGGTGAACTCTGCAAAAAAAATCGATAAAATCGATAAAAGTAATGGATGATGTTGAAAACTAATATTGTATTCGTAATCAGCATGCTCGATTACCCCCCCCCCCTGTGCAAACTCCCGGCCCCGCAGGTCAAACTTTATAAAAAATCGATAAAATCGATAAAAGTAATCGATAATTCTGAAAACTAATATTGTATTCGGAATCCCCATGCTCACTTACCCCCCCCCCCCACCCCTGTGCCAACTCCCAGCCCCGTAGGTGAACTCTGCAAAAAAATCGATAAAAATCGATAAAGTCGATATCGATCGATGACGAAAAGTAGCCTATGACACCCGCCGGGGCCCGAAGTGTATGTGTGCCAAGTTTGGTCCGGATCGGTGCAAAAATGGAATTTTCTATTCGGAACATACGTACACACATACATACATACATACATACAGACAGGCAGACAGACATACAAACAGACATTCAGCTTTATATATAAGATTGTTAAGCAGGTTCTTTACGCATACTGATTTTTTTATTACACAGCTTTGCAAGTTTTCCGAGCTTTTTAGCGGTGTAAGCAGATTTTGAAGAATATTGGTAAACTAGCTGGCTGCCCCGGTCTTACCCGAGACTTCAAGTTAGTTAAGCCAACAGGACTTGTAAACTTACGCCTCTAGATTTCTTCTAACATGCGCATAAAGCGCTTTCAGACTAATTGCCGCACCCTACCGACTTTAAGACTGAAATGGACTTTACCGCCCTTGCTTACATGTTTATATGTAAAAATGATCGGTTGCCGTGATGGCCCTTCATTTTCTTAGGTTTGAGTAAACAAATCAATAAATCGATAGAATGGCCCGGCGAATCGCCGCGAAAAGTAGCTCTAAACCACCGCCGGGGTCGAAAACATACGTGTGCGAAGTTTCAGCCGGATCGGTTCAGTGGCGCGCGTTTCTATAACGAACGAACAACTAAACGAACATCCTCACAGACATTGAGTTTTATATATATATAGATTGTCACCGATCAGTCGAAAACCTGGAGAAGCATGACTGTAATGTGTACACTTCATATGCCAAATCAGCGACTTGGTTTGTTTGGTTTATTTCTGGGACAAGATGCGACTTTCAATGGCTTAAACTCTTCTTCAAAGTTTGTGAATTCTACAGTGAGAAAAAGAGGTCTGAGATTCGCTTCATATATTTGGTTTGAGTTGAAGTCAGGCTGGATTCATACTGACCCATAAGTTCCGGATCAGTTTTAGCACAGCGCTCGAATTGCGCGCTGTGCTGGAACTGTTCTGACACTTACTGTATGAACAGTATGAACATAGTGGCTCTACTAAAGGGGCCTGAAATTGGCAAAAGATATCAAAGCAAGAGAATTATTAAACAGTGTGTACATTTTTGGGACAACACAAAAGTAAAAAGCAACCACGACCCCACAAGTAATAATCTGACCGGATAACCAAGTTTCCAGGTGTGCGCACTCATTTCTTGCGGTATTCGCGGCACGTCCGGATGCTTTCTGCTTTCTTTACGCATTTTTCGTTGTTTTAAGACTTCCGATCGTTTGTACATCATCACCGGATCTTGCATCGGCGACCAAGCGTTGGGCAGTATCATCATGGCATAAGAGACGAGAAGGCTGTACATCTCAAATAGAGATTGGTGAAGACATTGAAGTTTATATTGAACATTTCTTACCGAAGGGCTCGTAATGAACGATTGCATTATATTAACAGCACTGTAAGCGAACGAGAATACTACAGTCAGACTATAACAATCAGCATTATTTTGATCATACGAAGTAAGCTAAACCATCCATGAAAACAACTCACATGTTCAAAGTATTATTTGTTACCCAATCAGAAGAAATTGCCAAAGTAATCCAACTTGCAAGCAGCAGCCAAGGTAGAAAGAATAAGAATACAGCGTTACGATAACACTAAAACACGGACTTTCTGCTTCGGTCTTTGAGTGCACCTTGCACCTTTTCTACGCTCCATTTCACCACGTAGTATTCCTCAGAAAGGAAGCTGTCCATCTTCTGACGATATTGAGGGATGTTCTTCATCGTGAAAAGGCTAAAGTATGAGAAAGAAGAGGCTGCCAGGGCGGCACAGGTATTGACAAGGACAACAGGCAGCCATAAGTTTGAGGTTTCCTTCGTGAAATGACCAAGACAGCTCCATTGTGTGGCGCTCTGTGAATGCCCTTTTTTGCTTAAAACATTTCCATATGATAATGTAATCACATCAGACCTTATAGTACTGAGCAAAAGCAAATACTACAACAGATCCACCAAAGAGGACTCCTATAAGCAAAGTTTGTCCCTGAAACACACAAGATAGTATTTGATTCCCATTCATCTCCTTTGTTTACCGATAATCTCGGAATCTTAGCATAACGCTTCATAGGATTACTCCAGATGTTTATTTGCTGTAGATGTGTCACTTTCCATACATTCAAAGCTTCCATTGCAAGAAAACCGATTCCTAAACAACATAGTTGCGTGGTATATGATTTTCGGAGAACTTTACCTAATGAGTACATTGTTGTGATTATGTAAGACCACATGCTGCAGTGAAATCGGGACAAGTCGAACAAAGCTGGGTGATGGAAGAGCAGCACTATCAGTCCAGCATTGCAAAGAACGAAGGAGCGAAGGTTTTGGTAGTACACTTGCGTGTCCTTGAGTGGAAGTGTGACACCCACATTTGCTAGCGGTTTGCATCCCGACACAGCTTACCCTTCCGGACTTTGGAAAATATAGTTTCATTGCTCCCTTCAGGATGAGCGTTATAAATTCACTGAATGTTAACGCCGTTGCACCTTCTCTAACTGAATTTATTATGGAACTCTGGAATACCATACATCATGATATGAGTGACTTCCTAATTCACATTTTCACCTTCCTCGTTTCTGCCACTCTGTTATTTTCTTAACTGAGTTGCTCATGTGACTTATGATTTACATGCTAACAACTCTGAATTTATCAAAAAGCCGGAGTTTATCCTAAACTCGCCGGCTTTTTGAGTTCCACTCCGCCCATGCAGTATTGCACCCCGCCGCATTGTGTCAGGTAAGCAAAGCCGTTTTTACGCAGTAATACTTTGCGATGGTGTCCCGCTCCGCACAACTGATATCCTGATGCACGTGCGAGGCCAGCCGGAGTAATCACGCTTGTCAAAATAAGGTTTTTAAAAACAAGGGGGAGGGGGCTTGCGACGTTTCTAGGTAACCTGCATTTCAAACGCAATTGATTCTACGAAAGGCCAAGACTGGCAAAAAGAGACGATTTGGATGAACTTCGCTTCTAAAGCTCCCCACTGCTCTTCACTGTAAAGTGGCGCTAGGCTCGTAAGGACTGTCTGTGCTCTAACGCATTGTACAGGCTTCAGAATGAAACTGTTTAGAAGAAGGTTCATGCTATGTTTTGACGGAGGCGTAGACAGACAAACTAAATTAGTTCAGGAAGATTTGACAATTGAAGGTGAAAACAAGACGGGAGTAAACCCTCGAATTTCAGTTTGAGAGAACCACGAAAAGTCAGGAAGCCTACTTGCAGCACACACTTGCTAGTCCCACAAAATAAGGTTGCCGGTTGCCAGCCTAGCTATTACAGGATGTTTTGTACTATGCAATTATTAGGTTTGGCACACAAATTTTGCAACCAATTTTGTGACTTCTTTCTTTTTGCCTGCGAGGCATTCATTTTCGGGCATAATGTGGAAGATAGTAGTCTACAAATGTGCGCAAACAGTTCAGTTTCTGGAACTGAAGTGGAAAAAATTCATGCACTTTTGAAAGTTGTTCAAAATCAAAACTTCAAGAGTCGAAATACCAAAAATAAAGCCCTTTTTAGCCTGAATTGAACACATCAATCTGAAACTGTACTCAGATTGTTATAGAGGAACCTCTAATGACCTGTACAGTCTTGGTATGATGCGTCTGATTCACATTGAGAACGACTTTAATTTTATTTTTCGGACCCTTGAAATTTTGAACTCAGCCAGCTTTCGAAAAGTGCTAAATTTCTCCTCTTCATTAACGGAATTCAAACTGTTTGCATACACTTGTAGCCTACTGCCTAACCTCCTACGTTATGTCCACAGACAAATTTGTCTCTGACGGATTTGTCTGTGGGCATAATGTAGGAAGTCCGAGCTCATGTGCCAACCTATTTTTTTGGTCGCCTATATCAGTCTCCACAAAGTCTTTTGTGGACATTGGATATTACCAGTGCGTCACCTCCGCTTCGCGGATGTTCGCACTGGCTCTCCTATCCGTATGCCTTTCTCATCTTCGCATAAAGATGACTTTAAAACTTACCACGCGATATTATACATCATAATCAAATTATAAACAACTGTTCATTCTTGAAGCATCTCCACGTAAGATCAGTAATTTTGAGGAAGAAAACTTTTTCGCAAAGAAACACCTGCGAATTTGAATGGATTACTGAATTTTTTGGCTTGGTAGTCGTCATAAGGGTAATAGTCATTTGAGCTACATTTTCGTGTAAAAATCTTTTCAAAGTTTTAGGTAAAATCTTGCCAAATCGACTATTGACGCGATCACCACTTTTTGGCGCTATTTTCGCAGGAAAGCAAACTTTTGAGCACTTTTGTTCTAGAATTCATGGGGCGCAGATTTACTTGTCAGGCAAATCATGACTTTGCAAAAATCCAAATCTGAACTCAGTTTTGCCAGATTGAAGCCGTGTGGATCCGTTTGACGCACATTTGTAGCATCAATTCAACGGATCCCTACGAAATTTTGCATGATGGGTCTAGGTGCTGGCAAGGGGCTATGAGCAGATTTTCAGCTCAAGACATTTGCTGCAACTCGCTCTATGAATTTCGTGACAGACAGACGTACGCACAGACACACAGACAAACAGACGTAAAAAAAACCCTTGGCCCGTTATTATTAAGTCGTAGATTCTGCTGGATTGCTGGAGTGCTGGATTTAGCTTATGATTGGGGCTTCTTGGTCAAAGTGACCTTTCCAAATGAGTCCTATTCCCTTTCAAAAGCACTTCAAAAACACTGAACTCTGCTTCCGAATCTATCCTCGCTATCAGCAAGCGCCCTTGAACGCGGTGATGAGTGTTTTTTAGAGGAAAAAACGCATTCAAGTAAAAACGATTGTTACGGTATTTCTAGATTGGATGGGTGATCAACATGAGCGTATTAAGAATCGAAAAGTGCGACTGTCTTTAAATCTCGGCATGATGAATATTGTGTTGATTTAATTGCTGAGCCAGTCCGAGATTGGTAAATATATTTATTAGGCTGACGTTTCGGCTATGTCGCCTTCTTCAGAGCCTGAAATGGGCGACAACAATCTATAAAACTATCCGATCAAGCATCTCCTCAGCCTCACAAACAAAATTCTAAGCTTTCTTTCGGATCACAGGCAAGCTGCCACACGCAATACTCACCTTTTCGACCGCCGGTAAAATTCTCGAGTATAAACGAGCGCTAACTGATAACGTAAGTGAATGATTGAACATGTCTTCACCGGATCAGAAAATCTGATCTAGATACGGTGCGAGCTCGCGTGTGACAGAGAGGCATTCATCTTTGCGATTCATTTTGGGTTGTTTGAAATGAATCCAAAACGCCTCCAAAGTCTTGCGGGTAGATGTTTGAGGTTCACGCGCTAAGATCTCTACATTTACTTCAAAATTCACTCCTTCATGCTCTTGCACTCTATGGGCGCCCAGTGGAGTGGATAAGCGTGATCTTTCTTTGCCATTGAGATGTTCCTTGATGCGTACGCATAAGGGACGTGCTGTTTCACCGATATACTCGGCTCCGCAATCTTTGCATGAGATGAGGTAGACAACTCCCGCGCTCATGCAGTCGCCGTCCTTTGCTGTGGGACATACTAGACAGTTTGACGTGGTGCAATTACGATCGTACATGCGATTCCGAATAAGAATGCGTTTCAAATTGTTCGGAGGCATGTCCACTACCAAAACTGAGTTGTTCAACCCTGCTCTCCTCAGACATCGCCGAATGGCGGTGCTCACTTCATCGGAGATAAAGGGTATACAGAAAGGTATCTTCTCTGCTGCGGGTGATGCTCTCCTTTCTACAAAGCTGCTTTGTTGGGCCCTACAATGCGTCATCCTGTTTTCATAACCGTTAGATAAAGCTATCTTACGTGCAACGGCCAACGACTCTATCTTCTCCTCTCGTCCACTACACACCTTTGCAGCTGTACGAAACATGTTTTTGATCACTGCTTTTTTGGTCTGTAGAGGATGCGCTGAGCGGGAGTGGATGAGAATGTTCTTGCTAGTGGGCTTTCGATACCACTTCGTTTTCTGATTGCCATCATTGATATTGACTTGTACGTTTAAGAAAGGCAACCATCCGTTAGTAGGCTTTTCCCGAGTAAGTCTTATATGTTCCGATTGCCTGTTCATCAACTCAAAGCATTCATCAACTTCCGCTTGAGTAGCACATATGATGAAACAGTCATCGATGTATCTGCAGTAAAGCAAGGGACTCAACTGCAGTACTGGTCTTTCAATTTTAGCCATAAAAATTACCGCCAGCGTTGGAGCCAATCTCTGACCCATGGCCAATCCTCTAATCTGCGAGAAATACTTTCTTGACCATCGGAATATGTTGCATTCTAGACACGCTTTTAACAAGGCCATTATTTGCGCGATAGAAAGTCCGAAAAGTCTTATTGCTTGCTCGTGCTCTATCAGAAGTTCACAAACGGCCTGCATTGCGGAGTCATTAGATACATTCGTGTATAACGCGCTAACGTCGAATGACTCCATGGTGTAAGAAGCGCTGATACGTGTCTCGCGTAGACGGTCTAAGAACATCTTTGTATTGCCTAGATGGGAAGGAATGAATTGGAGTAACTGCACTAAAATATTACTCAGGTACCATCCTATCCGATCTGTAGGTCCACCCACGCAACTGATTATTGGTCTGACCTTATAAGTTGCGGGGTCACTAGATGCGAAATCGCGCGCGGATTGGATTTTATGCGTCTTGATCAAAAGGTAAAGTACTGGGCAGGTTGGCAGATCAATTCTAAGACGGGTGATGATATCAGGCGATAGGTTTGCTGACTTTGCTATTTTCGTCCATTCTCTATTCAGATTGCGATATTGTTTTTGAAACTCATTTTTCGTAGATATCTTGTAAAGTGTGGCATCTTGGAGATGTCTTTCTGTCAACGCAATATCTAGATCATGAGGTATTACAACAAATTCGCCTCCTTTGTCACTTGTTGATAGTCGTATCTCTGCAGCGTCTATCATTTTCTGAATCTGTTTTATGGCCTCTTTCTGCGTTTTACTAATGTTTGAGTGCACCCTACTTTTGCGAATCCGTGCTAGAGTTCTAAAAACATCGTCGGCAAAAAGACGAAAGCTCGCATCAACGCTTGGATTTGCATCCTGCTGTTTGAAAAAGGTTCGTGGGAAAGGTATCGGTACCACGTGTTACTCGATCTTTGATTTGCGCTTCCACTCTCAGAGTTTGCCTTTTTGCGGAGTTTGTCTTGAAGTTCCTGTAGAGCACAGGTAAACTTGCGTAAAACCAATGTAGAGATAGATTGTGATGGTGAAAAACTCGGGCCTAACTCTAACAAAGAACGCGCATTATCAGGCAACTTAAATCCTCCTATCACTGTTACATGACGTAGAAACTTGAAGACATTCATCAGTGTCACACTCATTTTTATTCGAAAGGTTCACTGTATTGGGCTGTCTTACAGCGTTGCGCTGCGACCTACTCAAAAGGCTGTCGAATTTTTTCTGCAAGGTTGCTTTGACGCTAGATCAAATAGAATTACAGATTGATATCGACCCACCCACTATTC